CTTGGGAGGCAGAGGCAGGAGGATTGCTTGAACCCAAGAGTTCCAGGCTGTAGTGAGCCATGATCATGATCACCCCACTGCACTCCAGCCTGGGCAACAGAGCGAGACCTTGTCTCTTAAAACAAGAACTGGACTGGGCGTGGTGGCTCACGCCTGTAATCCCAGCACTTTAGGAGACTGAGGCAGATGGATCACCTGAGGTCAGGAGCTCGAGACCAGCCTGGCCAACATGGTGAAACCTCATTTCTACTAAAAAATACAAAATTAGCCAGGTATGGTGGGGGGCACCTTTAATCCCAGGTATTCATGAGGCTGAGGCAGAGGAATTGCTTGAACCTGGAGGAAGAGGTTGCAGTGAGCCGAGATTGCGCCATTGCACTCCAGCCTGGGCAACAGAGCAAAACTCCGTCTCAAAAAAAAAAGAAAAAAACCACTGCCAAAAAATGCATTTTGGGACCTGTGGGTTCAAGGGAAGGGAGTGCAGTCACAGCTACTCTTGGAATTACCAAGTCTCCTCTTACTCTCAAGGGAGACAGAGCCTCCTGACATCCCTCTTGCTGTGACATCCTGCTGATGACATCAACAGGTGGTACAGGTACCTGCTGGGTGACGGCCCAAATGCCCCTTGTCCTGCCTTTAGCCAACCTCACTCCCCTGGCCCCCACCAGCAGCTGTAATGGCAGCTGCCAAGCAAAAGCCATTCCCTTCCCAGTTTAATGTATTTGACTCCTGCATAGGCGGTAACCTCTCGGACTGCAAGAAAGCCTGAGATCGTTCTTCATCCTCCGCAGCAAAGTGGGGTGGGTATGGGCATGGGAAGTGAGGTGTTGGGGAGCCAGTGCAGGCAAGAGGGAAGCCCCCAGTGAAACATTTCAGAAGTGTCCTGAAAGCGTCCTTAACCCTGAAAGTGGACTTGAAGCTTGCACATGTAAAATGCAAGGTGCTCCTACGGGCTCCCCATGTGCTGGGGATTCACATCCATGGTGTCCTCTGGCTTTGCTGCCCAGCCCGGCATTCTCCTGACACAAGGAGAAACTAGGTCCTTGACTAGCCTCCTGCATGTGGGCACAGCGTGGACCCCGCTCCTGAAAACTCTATTAGAATTCGCCTGCCCTGTGGGACACTCATACCTGTCTTCTCCCATCCAGCTTCCTAACCACCTTCAAGGTCCCGAGACCAGGAGAGAAAAAGAAATCCTAACCACCCCAGAGAGGGCCCACAGCTGCACTTCTTACCAGGAATCCGCTGTCAAAAGCCCTTGTGTGCTCCCGCCTGCCACACAAAGCATGAATGGGAAGGAAGTCCGCAGCAGCAGCCTGGACGAGGCAGGGTCAAGGAGAGGGTGTTCCAACTATTTGCTTTAATAAAAACATTTACCAGAAACACGAGAGTGTTTCCCCTTTCCTACAACCTCCCTCTGGATGAGAATTTTGGTTGTGTCATCAGTGGTTGTGTTGCTCTATGTAAGACCATCTGTTTGGGGCCATATTCGTCTCAATGAAAAGTGCCAAACTCTTTACAACAAATTCTATGCCAATGAAAATCTCACAAAAAGGCATTGCCAGGCTTCAGCTACTGGCCCACACTTTAAAAAATAATCCACAAAGCCCGATCTCCACAAAAGACTGTCTCCTGGCACATCTTCCTGTCATAGGCTTCTCTGGTGTCGATTTGGCCAGGAAGGACGCTAAAGGGTCCTGCCATCCATGCTTCTCTTGTTGATGTCAGATGTCTGCTGGAAAAGGGTGCCTGCTCCAGGGGGCATCCGCAGCTGGGAGAAGGCTGGTCGGTGCCATCCCAGAACGCAGCCCAGCAGGTGCATCCAGCCCTGGCACCCGGGCACTCTTGGAGGCCAACACAAAGTTCTCAACTTGGCACCCTCCGGCCTGCGGCTGATCCCTGCAGAGTAAGCCTCAGGCTGACGGAGATAAAGTTTCCCTGGGCCCAAGTTCCAAACTCGGCCGTTTTGTTTCTGTTAAAATGCAATTGTTTTTCTCTGGAGTGTGCAGTGACTGCTCCGCGTCAGGAAGATGTATGAAAACCTCCACTTCAATTCGGCATCCCTTTTCTCCCAGACAAACACGGTCGGATTTTAATAAATCAAAGAGCCACACTGTTTAATAAAAATTTATTGACTTACAAGTGATTATTTATCAAAAGACCATTAATAGCAGGTAGTGAAATGATGTGTTACTGGGTGGTGCTGGGAGACTAATAGGAAATCAATGCAGCCGGCCGGCCGGAATGCATATGAGAAGCCCACCCCCCGGCCGCCAGCGCAATCACCCCCACAACACACGCCAGGCGCCACCCCTGGCGCAATGAAAAGTTCCCCCTTTTTATTTATCGTTTACAAATGAAATGATCAATACTTTTAATCTAGAGCAAAATTTATTAACTTTCCCATCGGAGAGAGACATATTGACTTGGGGGGAGAGCGGGGTGTGCGTGCTGCAGAAGACGGATGGCTGCACGGCCATCTCCTAACCTGTCCTAAACTGTCCGCAAGGCAGTGCACTTGCAGCTGCCCTTCCAGCCTATGGCCTGAGCCACCCAGCACAAGCACGCCTGGAGAAGCCGAGTCTGGCCACCCGGGATGCATGGTGGGCGGGTGGGACCTATGACATGGGAGGATCTCTGACACACCCAGGGACAGCAGCAAGCACTAGCCCAGTCAAGTTCCTGGCCAATTCCAGGAAGCAAATGGCAGGATTCATAGACCCCGATTTCTACAGGACAACAGGGTTAGTGCCCACCGTTTGCTCTGCCATTAAGGTCACATGATGTCACCCAAGAATGCCTGTCACTGGTCTGGGATGGGCATTTGGCAATCCGGTGCACTCCTCCACACCCCTCATGCATTAAGTCTCTTCTATCTGAAAGGCAGCACCAGGGACTTGGTTCTGACCGAGTGAAGCATCAAGTCCCAAAGCTGGTTCTACTGCCAAGGGAATCCCACTAGCTTTATTAGAATGTTCCCTTTTGGCTGGGTGCGGTGGCTTACACCTGTAATTCCAGAACTTTGGGAGGCCGAGGCTGGTGGATCACCTGAGGTCAGGAGTTCGAGACCAGCCTGGCCAACATGGCAAAACCCCGTCTCTACTAAAAATTAGCCAAGTGTGGTGGTGCATGCCTGTAATCCCAGCTACTCGGGAGGCGAGGCAGGAGAAGTGCTTGAACCTGGGAGGCAGAAATTGCAATGAGCCAAGACTGTGCCACTGCATTCCAGCCTGGGCAACAGGAGTGAAACTCCGTGTTTAAAAAAAAAAAAAAAAGTTCCCTTTCTAACTGGTGGGACAAAAGTCTCACGTCTGAGTGAAAAAGCCTGTCCGAGATCTACAACAATGACACCACCCAGCCTGAGAGCAGCCTGGCCCCAGCCCACAGCTGGGCTTAAAAATAGAAAATGCAGAAGTGGGCAGGGTCTTCGAGGTCACCTAGCCAAGTCCCTAGTTATGACTCATGAAACAGATGCAGAGAAGTGAAGGTGCAGCAGGCGTGGAGGTGGGCTAGCAGCTGGCCAGCGCTTGTTCCACTCATTACATCACTGGGTGTCATTCCCAGCTTGGCCCCACCCCCGCTGGGGCCACAAGAGGGGGCGCATTATTTTGTACTTTGCATGTTTCTAAGTGCCATGAGGTTTTGCCACACAAGACCAACTGTTATCACAAACCAGATACTCTGGCTATGGGTCACTTGGGGCCTGCAGGACCCCCAATTTAAAAGGATGGAGCAGCTGGCTGGATGATGGTAGAAGGCATACATATACCTAGAAAGGGGAGGTTCCGTTTCTGCAGGTGTGAGTCAGTCCTCTCCTCATTGCCTGGCCGGAACAGCACCTCCCTCCACAGTACTGATGCCACGTGACTCCACACCAGGTGCAGCCACACCTGCCGGCACGGGCCACAGACAACTGTGCTGAATGTGAGATGAACAAAAGCAAAACCTGTGTGTATATATAAATAAATAAATCACGAAAGTAACAAATCACAGAGTTTCAGACGAACTTTTAAAAAGAGAACCTGATCTTTAAGACCAATTACAGATCCCTCCAGTTAGTTTACAAACACTGTAAACATCACCTATAAAAGCTGAAAATCACTTTTTATTCTTAAGAATTTTGTAAAACAGTTCCTAAGAGACTGTTATTAGTCATAACACTGTATTTTTTTTTTTTTTCAGTCTTCATTTGAGAGCAAAAACACTTCCCTCAGGCTGGCAACAGGGCAGGTGAGGAAACGGGAGGCTCTCTGGGGAGGTCACAGGAAGGCGCAGAGAAAGGGAGACAGCAGGGCCAACCCAGCAGATCCTCACATGACAAAGCAGATCCGTCTGCAGCCCCAGGAGCACAGCTTCACTCCCACCCGCTCCCTGAACTGTAGCCCAGAGGGTGACCTTGGGGACGTGACACTCAGCACCACTGGCTCAAAACCCTGAGAGGCATCATGACTGTGCCACGAGGGAGCGTGGGTCCCAAGTGAGGGCTGGTGGGGCATGAATGGTGGGCTCAGGAGCATGAAACTGGTGAAACCCCAGAATCCACAGGGGCTGCTTGGCTTTGGCTCTGCCTCCACCGTGACCATATAGCTGGCAGACTCCCTGCCGGGTCAGCTCTGGCTGTGCAGAAGCCCCCATGCAGCACACGCCCCCATCAACCCCCTCTGCAGCCCTCCCGGAGCCCCTGCTCCTCCCCCGCCCTGAAGCTTACATGTTGCTTTCCCCAGGCCCCATATCAGCATTTCTCACATGCCCCCAATCTCTGGAGAGATCCAAGAGATTGTGGAAATTCGAATTGTGCTGGAAATTCGAAATGAACCAAAGATCTGCAAGCATGTGGGACGCGCTGTTCACCTTCTGAGCTGCAGGGTTCTTTGCTCCAGCACTCAGGTGGCTTCTCTGCAGCCCCAGGGCTGTGCGCCCAGAAGAGAATGGGAACTTCCGCCAGAAGTCTGCGACTCAGGACCACAGCCAGGGGAGAAAGTAAAGGGAGAGTCCCCCAGTTCATTCACCAGCCAGTTTTATTTACTCACAAAAACAAATCCACAGCCCGGTGCAGCAGCTCTGAGCTCAGACTGCCCCACCCCGTTTTGTGGGCCTGTATTTGAAACACTGAACGTGACATGTCCTTCACTCACCGCAGCACTTTAATCCCCACAACAGCCCTGTGAGGTAGGATCACCACCCTTCCCCGACTCATGTTACAGATGGGGAAACCGAGGCACACATTCAACAGAGCGAGTATCACATGGGGAGTTCAGGGTCAGCCTGCAGTATGAACACGTGACTCTTGGTTCTCACCTTGGGCCAGTCAGCAGCAGTCAGCAGCCCACTTGGCCTCTTCCCCTCCCTTTGGTGGCCCCATCAGCAGCAGCATAAGAATCTAACCCTTCATTTTGCTGAAAGCCCCTGCAGGCGACAGTTTCCTTCCTATCACATCTGTAGAGCTCCAAGACTGGGGCGATGCTGAGGCCGAAGCCAGCCACAGTGCCTCAGCTGTGCCTCTCCTTAAGAGTGGGTGGCCACCCCCAGCATGTCCCTGGCACATGGGCATACATAACAGACGCCTGTCCCGCCGTCCCTAGCACAAGAACGTGGCCACACCTCCCCAGCCACTCGGCCCGCACAGTGTGCACAGGTAGGGAGCTGACTTTAATGGCATTCCTCCAACAACTTATTGTAAAAGAAACAAGGCATCTCGTCCTGGGTCACGACACCCAGCAGCATCCATTCAGACTGCCAAGGGCAGGCTGTGCCGGGTGCACGGGGATCCCCCTGTGGCTGGGCGAAAGCCAGAGTCCTGGGACCCAGAGCAGCCCGGGGAGCCCCGGAGTCTGGAAAGGACGCAGCAGTGGGGGCGGCAGCGGCGCTCCAGCTCCTAGCCCGTCGGCACCTGGCACGCGGTGGCCCCAGCCAGCTCGATGTGGGCTCAGGAGCGGCTCCTGTCCTCGTGGTTCCCCACGATCATCTTGCTGTACAGCTTCTGCTGTTCCTCCTTGAATGTGTCCTTCACCTTCTCCCTCTTCAGGCCCCCATCCCTGGTGAGACAAAGGCTGGATGTAGTAACAGCCAGGAGGGCTCCCAGCCACCCTCACACCATGGGAGATGCACCGTGCTGCCCAAATACCAAGAAAAACCTGCCAGAAACAGGGTGCCTGTGACACTGTCATCAGGACAACCTCAGGGAATTTGGGTCACTGGGCTCCCAAAAACCCACCCTTTCGATCTCAAAAGCTCCATTCTTGCCCTGGGGTGAGAATTTACTACTCATATTCAAGGTGCTTTGTAACTGCTTAAACCTACCAAGGAGTTTACAATTCTTTCTACTCTAACATTCATCTTTACCTCACAAAGGAAAAGGAGGAATTCTGGCATTACGGAAGGTAGACATGCTTTGAGAAATATCGACTCATAACCTATCTGTAAAATAGATGTCTAAAATCTCATCTGTTTAATTCAGACCCAGGGATCCGAATTCATGCAAAGAGCTAACACAAGTGGTAATACGTATTCTGATTTCTTCCATGCTGAAGAGTGCTGTCAGGAATGGAAGTTCACCTCTGGGGCTGCCTCTCAGAGTCCCAGTCTCACAGCCCCAAGTGCCTCCCTGCAGCAGCCCCTAACCAACCCACCAGACTTGAGGTTGTTTCGCTCCAGTCCCATTCCCTCGTGCCTGCTGCCCCACTCCGCCTACACTCTAGAATTATCACCACCTTCAACAACTTATAAAAACCCAAGCCCGCTTTCAGTCTCCCCGCTACACCCTTTTAAATCCATAGCAAAGGCATGGTTTTTATTTATTTTTTATTTTTGAGATGGAGTTTCGCTCTTGTTGCCCAGGCTGGAGTGCAATGGCACAATCTTGGCTCACCGCAACCTCCACCCACCGGGTTCAGGCGATTCTCCTGCCTCAGCCTCCCGAGTAGCTGGGACTACAGGCGCATGCCACCGCAGCCAACTAATTTTTGTATTTTTAGTAGAGATGGGGTTTCACCATGTTGACCAGAATGGTCTCGTTCTCTTGACCTCGTGATCAACCCACCTTGGCCTCCCAAAGTGCTGGGATTACAGGCATGAGCCACCGCGCCCGGCCACGCATGGTTTTTAAAAGCAGCCACCTGTCCTTGTTAAATTTCAGAGATGGGAACATGGGGCAGAAGTTAAACCTTCAAGCTCTAAAAGTCTGTTGGATGTGGGTTCCAAACCTAGCTCCAGTGCTTATGTTATGACTTTGGAGAAAAGTGATTTTTAACCTGAGTCTCAGTTTCTCATCTGTAAAATGGGAACAACAATTTTTACAGGACTGCGGCTACTGTGAGGGTGAAAGAGACGATCACACAGAGCCCAGCAGCTCGGTGACTGGCACACAGCAAGTGCACAATCCATGCTAGCATGTTTTAAAAGGCAATCATCTGAGAGTCAATCTATTACCTGAGACTCTACAGTTGGGTTTAAAATATGAATTTCTACCCTTTCTTTTCTCATAGATAATGCCCATCTATGTCAAATGCTGACCCTTGGCTTTTAAACCTAAATGCTCCAGAGTGGAAAAGTTTCTCTGAACCAGCATTCACCCATCGGTCTCCTGCTATTTGGGATAAAACTATAGCATGCAGCTCAAGGGCCACAACCAACTGATACCTGTTGTAAATAAAGTTTTATTGGAACATAGCCATGCTCATTGGTTTATGAACTGTCTCTGTTTTCACACTACAATGGCAGAGATCAGTTGCTGCAAGAGACACCATATGGCCTCCAAACCCTAAAGTATTTACTGACTACAGAAAAAGTATGTCAATCCTGCTTTGTTAGGTAACAAGCTGAATACAACAAACACAGCCTTTGCCTTTCTAAGGATGGTTCAATTTTACCAGATACACTGGGATCAGGGAAAGTCCTCCTTCCTTCTTGAGGTTTTCAGATCAGTACCAGGTCATGCTCGCCCAGAAATGGGCACTGTCCAGGTGTCCTGGAAGACTGGTTCCAACCCCAGAAAGGTACACAGAATCAACTGCTTCAGTCCAGACATCCCTGATCCAGATTCCCCAAGGTGAAGGAGGTACAGGGCACTTCTGGGTTGGAACTCAGGGAGAGGAGTCAATCCGCTCTCTCTAGAGCTGACAAGCTTAATACTCCACACCAAGGAGAATGCTATGACACAGTATCTGCTGCAGAAACTCAGCTGATAAGGCCTGGCTCTAAACTTACCACAGCAGGTCCACAAGTCCTCCCTGCCTGGCAATGGCGGATTTCACCCTATTCGCAAACTGGACGGCATCTTCATCTGCCTGTAAGAAAGAATGAATAAGACCGCTCAGCCCCGGCTCGAGATTACACAGAGCAACCGCAGACCTGCCTGGGGTGGACACTCACCTCTCTGGTCATGGGAGGCAGGTACCACACGCTGCAGACAATGGCCCAGCTGGTCATCATTCGCAGCAGGTACGTCACCATCCCGTATTTGCTGCTGTTCCAGAAGGCATCGCCAAATTGAGGGTCATACTAAAAACAATGGAAACCTGGAGGTAAGACGTGAGTAGTTCTCACAATGTGTGCATGTCACAGTGACTGCTGTGTGACTCCACTGGGCAGTGCTGGCACTGGGGCGCTGCTCCCAGACGCTGCGTTGAGTACTGCTGAAGCCCCTCTCCATGTGGGCAGTCTGACCGCGAGCAGCACTGATCTCTGAGTGGCCTGGCCTCTCTCTGCTGCAGATCAGGAAGGAAGGCTCCCCTGACAGCCTGCCTCAAGCAATATCCTCCCTCTTTGATTCATTTCAGGTCTTAATCATAGGTATGTAAAGTTTTCAAACATCTCCAGAACCAGAGAGAACAGGATCATGCACTCCCATACACCCATTCACTGATTCAACCACCACCACCGTCTCCCGCTTGCTCCATTTCTCCCTCCCAGCACCCTGTCATTCATCTAGTGTACCTCCCCCAAATAAAGGTATTTTCTTACACAAACACCAACTTTTAAATATGATTTCTGGTGCTCAGACCAGGGAGGAAACTATTAGAAAGCTTATGATATGCTTCTGCATTTACATTTCCAACCAAGTCAATCATCTGTTCAGGAGGCGGCTCTGGGCTGACGCCGACACGTGCTTACACTCACACACTGACACATCCCGACATGTGCTCATGCTGAAATGTGCTCACGCTGACATGTGCTCACACTGACAGCCCCAGGAGGTCTCAACCACACAAGCCCAATTCTACCAAGAAGCAGGTATCAGACCCTTTCACTGCCAGTGGCTCTAATAGAGGCAAAAGCAGCAATTCAATGGTGTTTTGCAGAAAACGTGGCTGCAGCTATGACCCACATTCTCACTGGAAGGGCAGGTGAGCAGCATGGGGAAGCTCCAGAAGAAGCTGTACAAGGAGCAACAGGAGGACCTGGGTGCTTGAGGAGAATGCCTGGACAAAGCACCTGGTGCTGCCGGCGAATGTCTGAAGGGCTCCTGTAGGCAAGGCAAGAGGCTGACCTTGTGCAATCATAAAGCAAACACCCAGGACCAGAGTGGAAAAATAAAGGAACCAGAATTTCAAGTGTTATCCCACACGGCCGCACTGCCAACAACATCAAAAATGCCCTTTCCCTGGGAAAGCCTGAGGAGGAGCCCGGGGCACGGTCCTGCATGTGGGCACGGGCTGCGGTGGAGTTGAACTCTATGATCTTTTAGGCCTTTCCAACCTAAGTTTTATGATGCACAGTATAAAAATTGGATAATTTTGCCAAGACTGTGGCCCTAACTGCAAAAATGAAGATAATTTTAGGCTTAACTATAGAAATTATAAGTAATATATATATAAGAAGTTTAGGCCAGGTGTGGTGGCTCACACCTGTAATCCCAACACTTTGGGAGGCCGAGGCGTGTGGATCACGAGGTCAGGAGTTCAAGGCCAGCCTGGCCAAGATGGCGAAACCTCGTCTCTACTAAAAATTTTTAAAAAAAGAAAAAAGAAGTTAAGATTTAACTACAGAAGGCGTAATGAGTTCATATTATATAATACCAACAGAAAGAAAGGAAAATAATAAGTTTTTAAAACTAAGCTAACGTGTATGATCATAAAGTAAGTGTTGTTATATTTTATTTTATTTTTTGTTGAGAGACAGTCTCACTCTGTCACCCAAGCTAGAGTGCAGTGGCACAATCTCGGCTCACTGCAACCTCCGCCTCCTGTGTTCAAGTGATTATCCTGCCTCTGCCTCCCAAGTCGCTGGGATTACAGGCACCCACCACCACACCCAGCTAATTTTTGTATTTTTAGTGGAGAGGCGGTTTCACCACGTTGGCCAGGCTGGTCTCGAACTCCCAGCCTCAAGTGATTCACCCACTTCAGCCTCCCAAAGTACTGGGATTATAGGAATCAGCCACCGCACCTGGTCGTATCATTGTATTTAATGAAGCTGGATATGGACGGAAATTCTGATGTCACAAGAGTGTGAGAACACTTTGTTTCAGGCTGATTCTCTATTCCACACTGGGCAGTGTATGTCGACAGAAAACAAGGCAGAAGCTGAACACAGCAATGTACTCCTCACACCAGGTCATGGCTGAATTCCGGTGGGAATATCAGAAGAGCCTTGAAATCGCCACGGTTATCCACGTTTGCTTACCAATAAAGGGTTCGCAAAAACCAGAAAAGTTATCTGTGGAGCAGATGTTCTTAGCTATACGTGGGCTCTACTCTGTGGACTGAATGGAGAAGTGCATAAAATTCATCAGCATTTTACTCTGGAAAGGAGTGGAAACTCTCCTTAGGATTTGTGTTCCGACAGCAGCTAAGAGCTACTGCTTCAGAACAGTGGCCACCACAGTGTGCCAACTGATGATGCCAATGCCACCCAGAACATGTTAGAATGGACACTCAGAAGGCCAGGTGGGGTGGCTCATGCCTGTAATCCCAGCATTTTGAGAAGCCAAGGCCAAGGCGGATCACTTGAGCCCAGGAGTTCAAGAACAGCCTGGGCAACAACATGGTGAAACTCCGTCTCCACAAAAATTAAAAAATTAGCTGGGCATGGTGATGTACAAGTGGGAGGCTGAGGCAAGAGAATCACCTGAAAATGGGAGGTGGAGGTTGCGGTAAGCCATGACCGTGCCACTGCACTGCAGCCTGGGTGACAGAGGGAGAGACCCTGCCTCAAAAGAAAAAGAATGGAAATTCAGAAACCCAGGGCATGGGGCCCAGCAATCTACATTTTAACAATCCCTCCAGGCTATGCTGATGCAGCCACAGTTCAAAAGTCACTGTTCTGGAGGGAGCAGTAAGGGCTTCTAGCCAACAGCTTCATGTTCACAGTGCAAAGCACCTGTCTTCGTTTTACCAGAACCCAGGACGCAGATGCCACTCCCCACTCCCACGCCCAAGGCAGACTCTGCTACCAGATTATGTTCCTCTTTCTTGCTGTTCCCAGACACAGCATCCTCAATCAGAGTCCCCTGCAGGCAATGTTCATCTGCCATCCCTGGCCTGGTCCTCTGCCTAAATGATGAACAGTGAGTGGCTGGGGAGCATCTGCCTTACCAGGAGGAACACCTCTCCAGTGGCACTGACAAGGTGAAAAGAAAGTCACAACCAACTCTACAGAATGCTCTGCATACAACCCACAGAACCCTGCAAAAGAAATTCTAAACGTGAGCCTGACTCACATCTGCTCACTGTTTTACCGGGCTCTCAGACTGCAGCCTAAATACTTAAACCACATTAAGAATGGCCTGGGTTAGGTGGGACCAGTGGCTCATGCCTGTAATCCCAGCACTTTGGGAGGCCAAGGCGGGCAGATCACCTGAGGTGGGGAGTTCAAGACCGGCCTGACCAACGTGGAGAAACCCTGTCTCTATTAAAAATACAAAAAAAAATAGCCGGGTGTGGTGGTGCATGCCTGTAATCCCAGCTACTCGGGAGGCTGGGGCAGCAGAATTGCTTGAACCCGTGAGGTGGAGGTTGTGGGTTGTGGTAAGCCGAGATCGTGCCATTGCACTCACTCCAGCCTGGGCAACAAGAGTGAAACTCCGTCTCAACAAACAAAACAAAGCAAAAAGAACAGCCTGTGTTTTGTAGGTGTCGTGATGTGAGGCCTGGTGGATGTGAAGCGGGTGAGAAGCGGAGGAACAAAGTGCAGATGACTGGCTAATCACATGCTATAGCTCCGGGTGTCTGAAGGGTTAGAGGAACAGTTCCTAAAGGGTCGAGGTAGATTACATAAACTCCCAGAGTCCGTCTCATTGTTAGGAACTGCCATTGGTCTAGAAGATGACACCACAACTAAAAGCAGTGGAGCTGCTTCTCCCACTGGGCTGGACGTAAGGACCCACCATCCTCTCGGCTTCCCCAAAATGCAAAAATCCGGCTTGAAACCACACTCCTGTGCTCTGCAATCAGCCACTTTACCAGGTGGAGGGGCCTACATTCCAGCTAGGTGTATGAAGCAAGGTAAGAAGTGAAGGGCTTGCCATTTCTTGAATGGCGGCGGCAGCAGCATGCAGGCGGGAATCTGGCTCTCCCCCATGCCACACTTCCCAGGCCCTTCTAAGGGGGTGCTGAGCGCTCAGCGTCCTCCTCCAGCAGCACTTGGCCCACATCAGCCCAGCCCCACGCCACTCTGCTGAGGGCACTGACCATGGCTCCTCCCTCCACCTCCTCCTACTGCACCCCACTCACGGCAGCTGCAATAATGACCGTGGGCACTCTTGGAGGTCTTGTACCTTGATAGCCACAGGGTAAACTGTGGCTCCAATTTCAAAACTTCCCTTTTTGAACATCATCACCGATGTATTATTGATGCAGGTTCCTAAAATGCAAGAGACAATAAAATGCTATTTCTGTTGGCCCTTTACCCCAGATACTAGGCGTTTCTTAAAGACTAAGTATAATAGTCAAAATTCTTCTAATGGTTCCTCAAATAAGACACATCTGTCATCTACCTAACTTAAATACTTAACAGAGACAAGCAAGATGGTGCCTCCAATTCTCTTTCTACAGGGCCACTTTCCCTGATTCACACACACAGCCTGGATAAAGCAGAGACACACAGTGGGGTCAGGAGGACTCTGCCAGCTCCATGAGGAGCTGAAACATTAGAGAAGAAATTCCTACATTTGGGAAATTCACACTGTGGCACTCTTAGTTCAAATTCTGAACTTGCCTGAGTTTTTAGTCCTACAGCCAATCTAAAGGGATCCTAGCGTGACTCAGTGAAAACAGATAATCCAGCAAGGGCTGAGGGTTCCCAGGAAACATGAGAGTCACATTCCTGCACTCCCCACAGAAGCGCTTCATGGCAATCAACCCCTTCTTACCTTCTGGGAAGATGAGGATAGGCAGCTTGCTTTTATCTTGCACATGTTCAGTCAGTCTTTCAAAGAGAAAAATAAAACGAAGGCTCAAGACAACCTTATACGCATCATTGTCAAAATACATTTATAAATAACCTATTTATTTGTGATACTAGATTTGATTATAAAAGCAAGTTAACAAGCATGACTGTATCCTTTTAAACCTATAATCTAATGCTCATCAAGAAAAAAATGTAGATGGATAGAGAAAATCAGGTTACTATTTAATTCACACAACCGTTCAATTCTGTGTGAACACAAGAGCACTAACGACACCACTCCACCTGGGAACCACCCAAAGGAGATGCCTGCCACAAGGCCTGGGCATGGCCCCCTCAATAAACCTGTGTCACTAGACTGTGTAACAGCTGTTAGGCTGGGCCCAGCCCTGCTGGTTCAATGCTCTGTCCCTGAGATGCAGCATAGGGAGTTGGGGAGGGGGCAGATCATCTGTCCCTGAGGAATATAATCTCAACTGTCTTATTTGTTATTTTTTGAGACAGGGTCTCTGTGTGTTGTCCAGACTGGAAGGCAGTGATGCAGTCATGGCTCACTGCAGTCTCACCCTCCCTGGCTCAAGCGATCCTCCCACGTCAGCCTTCTAAGCAGCTGGGACTACAGGACTGAACCACCACACTCAGCTAATTTTTAAATTTTTTGTAGAGATGGGGTCTCCCTATGTTGCCCAGGCTGGTCTTGAACTCCTGGGCTCTCAAAGCATTGGGATTACAGGAGTGAGCCTCCATGTGTGGCCTGGTCTCAACTGTCTTGATGTCTCTGTCTGCTGCAAATCTCTTTGCATTACTTACACCAGATTCACCTTTTTAAAGTCTGAAAACAGAGGAGTACTTTGTTCCATTGCCTTAGGTTTGTTTTTATTTGTGATGAATGAATTCATTTTGAGCTTTCAAACAGCAGTAAAAGTTCCTATTTTGTTTATTACGATGGGTACAATGAATAAAAAAAGGTTAAAAAACATTATTAACTTGGCAAATAAAACTAGGGTTTCGTGTGTGTATATATATATATATATATATATATACATATAATAAATTTTTTTTTTTTTTTTTTTTAAGACAGAATCTCACTCTGTCACCCAGGATGGAATGCAATGATGTAATCTCGGCTCACTGCAATCTCTACCTCCCAGGTTCAAGAGATTCTCCTGCCTCAGTCTCCCTAGTAGCTGGGATTACAGGCACTCGCCACCACACTTGGCTAATTTTTGTATTTTTAGTAGAGATGGGTTTCACGATGTTGGTCAGGCTAGTCTTAAACTCCTGACCTCTAGTGATCTGCTTGCCTCGGCCTCCCAAAGTGCTGGGATTGATTACAGGCATGAGCCACTGCGCCCGGCCACGTTTAAAATCTCATGTTTTAGGCAGTATAGGTTCATGATGGAAGGCACAAAACTGCACTGTGCAGTATGGATAACTGCCCTGAAGCCTTGTCAGCATTCTTTCTAACTGGCCAAGCAGAACAGCAGCGTTTTGTCCATTACCTCTTAGCCACCAGGTGGCGATCCTTCACTTCCGAGCGCTCAAACCAGACGTGTGGGCAGGCCTTCACCATGGCTCTCTGAATCACACCCATGAGTCCCCCGTGCACTTGACCCACCTAAGCGCAAGACACAGGACTCAGTAGTGAGGCCATCCTCACACAAATCTCCCCACTCTAGGAAGCCCCAGATCTCACAAAATAAGCAGTCTAACCTCTTACCTCTAACGCTTGCAGGTCCAACCTCTTAGCTCTAATGCTTGCTGGTCCTACCTCTCACCTCTAACGCCCGCTGGCTAGAGGTTGCTCACTGCCAAGAAACCACTATCAAGACTCCCCAAATCTTAAACTTCTTTTAATCAATAATACTAGAAATAGGTAATTAAAAACATAACTGAAACCTCTAAGACAAAATACTAAAATACTAGAGTGATTATCTGTGTAAAACTGCCCCTCTCTGGGCAGATTCTCAGATGCCCTGGAAACACTCCTTGCCAGGCCCTCCCTTTCCCGTTGCGGGTCTACCTGAACGCCCTCAGCATCCTCTCCAGCCACACTCACCACTCACTCTGTGCAGGGCATCTCCTTTCACAGCCCCACAGAGCCCCCACAGTGACAGTGTAGGTGGGGCAATGCTTAAAAGTGTTTATGTGAAGGGTCCAGGAGCCTCCTAGCCCTGATCGGTCTAACATAGGAAGTCTTGCCTCAAGAACGCGCCAGAACGAGTTCTTACCATGGCATAATAGCCATCACTGGCCAAGATGATCACATCGATCGGTGAGGTATGATTAGCCACACAGATGCCACCGTTTCTTGGTCTGTTTTCCCTGGTTTAAAAGGTATGCAAAGCAACCAAAATTAGCGTGAACAGTTCAAAGCTCAGAAGCATCCTCCTGTTGGCCACGCATAGGTGGGTGGTGTTTCCCACCAGCGCCAACTCCCTTCGTCTGGGTACAAAGCACGCTCACCTGTCGTGGTATGTGATGATGGCTGTCAGCGCTCGCACACAGATCCGGTAACACATTAAGTGAACATGTTTACTCATGAACTCCTTAAACCTGCAACAACAGGACAAGGATTCTAGGTGTTATTTTACACACAATAAGACAGAAAGAGTTCCTGACTTGAACAGCTCAGCAGTCCTTTATGATGGCAAAGTGCTTTTATAGACATAAGCACATACAGGAAAGCCTGTGATCCAGGAGCACCTTTATGTTCACACATGAGGAAAGAAAGAGGGGACAGGGAGACTCACTTACATGCACCCAAGTCAGTTGGTGGAGAATTCACAGCCTAGAATCTGGCATCGGGGGACCACAGGCAGGCTGAATTCTGTCGTCCTCCCCGTCAACACCCAGGGGCAGGCCCAAGGCCAGAGGCCAACCTCCGCACCAGCCCAGACAGAAGAAAGGTTTCCAAGCCCCAGAACTTCCCAAAGTGAGTAAAATATTCTTCATAAACAGACAAAACTTCCCTACATTTCAGACCATTTTAAAAACAATATCGTCTCACCACTTTATCCACACAGTCAAATGCTCAAAACTAAACAAGCTATAAAATCTGCTAACATCTGAGTCTCAGACTCTAAATGTTTGTGGCTTCTCCCTTTTGTCTTTAAAATGGAAAGCATGTGAGGGCTGAAGGGCAAAAAGAACAGTCACAGATCAAAATAAAAAAAGTAAAGACTTTACTGCTGCCGCCACCGTTATCATTATTATTATTTTGAGACAGATTCTCGCTCTGTCACCCAGGCTGGAGTGCAGTGGTGCAATCTCAGCTCACTGCAACCTCTGACTCCCAGATTCAAGGATTCTCCTGCCTCAGCCTCACAAGTAGCTGAGATTACAGGCACTCACCACCACGCCCGGCTAATTTTTGTATTTTTAGTAGAGATGGGGTTTCACCATGTTGGCCAGGCTGGTCTTGAATGTCTGACTTCAGGTGATCCGCCTGCCTTGGCCTCCCAAAGTGCTGGGATAACAGGCGTGAGCCACCGTGCCTAGCCACCAGTGGGTTATTTAATCCATCTGAGATTCTGCAGATTTGGTTGAATCCAAAGAAGTAGCCTGGCCTTTGATATCTGAGCACCATTCCCAGAATGAACTGCGCTTTAGGCGTGGACTCCCACACTCTACTCACCTCCCATTTGGCAAGTATCCCACCACAGTCGTGCCCACCACCAGAAGGCTAATCCCTGTGAAAGCCAGCGCTATCCTGTAAGAAGAAAAGTTAGAGCACAGTCAGCAAATCTTTGTACCAAGTACAGCACTGAAGGTGTGAAAATCAAAGTGGGCATCACAAAAACCACCCCCAAGACCTGACCACCTGGGACCCGGACCAGAGTTCACCTAGAAATGCGAGCAGGCCTATCAGAACCAGAGATCCTTTTAATTTCCGCTGACAGTGAGCCGTGGGTCTGGCTCTCAGCTGCCAGCATCTCCTGAGGCCTCAGGCAGCTGGAAGGCTGGAAAAACCCTAAGCTGGCCGTTCTGCTGCAGGGCTGCTCCCTGCTGCCCTCCCCTTCCCTTTGGCTAGAAACCCTGGTGGAAGCACAGCTTCCCTCTGAAGCAATAGGAGGTGGAGCCTGAAGGTACCAGCACCTGGCGAGACACACTCAGAACAGCACATGGTACAGAGAAGCTGAGAGACCAATACTGCCTCTGTACCTGAGAGGCAAGCTTCAGGAAACAATGAGCCATGCCCAGGGAGGAGTGGCCAGAAAGCACATGATGCTCCTGTCTGTGTGTCTGCTGTCGTCTAGACAAGCAAGCTGTCTTTAAGAAATCCAACTATTTCTATCTGATTTGCAGAGAATCCAAGGGCCTCTAAAGGAGAATTACCAGTAGTATACCCCTCCAAGGAGTCATGTGGCCTGGCCAGTGACAATCATCCCCTCCTCCTTTCTAAAACAGGAACACATAGCAGAACAGGCAGGTGGCCGTGCACCAGGATGGGGGACAGCAGCAAGTCCCGCTTCCCACAGGCCCTGCCTCACCTGAGCGGCAGCAGGAAGCAGTAGCGAATCAGCACTCCTAACCCCCACAGGACCGTGAGCCGAAGGCTGATGTACTGGAAGTTATAATTGGTTCTGCTCAGTAGGTTCCAGGACTCCAGTTCCTCTGCTGAGAATCTTTTTGTCACCTCATCATCCATAATGGTCTCCATTCCTTTCCGGCAAAAGTAGAAAATGTCAGAGAGCTCAAACTCTGGAGTGTTGTCCAGAGCCTTACTACTGCCACTTCGACGAATCTCTTTGATCTCTTCTTCTAGTGAAGTGGGATCCTTTGCAATGATTCCTGTAAAAGAATGTGTCCCTGTCAGGCAGCAGGCTGGGGGAGAGTACGTGAGACACACTCGGAGCACACATCCTGCACTGACGCAGGGAAGAGCCTGTGTGGCACCAGAAGCACTGGGGCACACAGTTCAAATGGACCTCTCGGGACAAGGACAACGTCTTACCGTTGGTGTAGGGCTTGTAAAGCTGGTGGTTCTTCTCCTTGGCTCCTCGCTCCATTCTCAAGGTAGCCCACTGGGAGGGGAAGGAAGCAAGATACAAGAGTGAGAATGAGACCTGCTTTCCATCAGTGAACACCTTCATCTCTGGTCTGTGAAAGCCTCAGTCCCAGTCACCTGAGACCGTAGCCACGAAGCACACAGTCTAGAAGGAAACTCAAACCACCTCTCCCAGAGCAGCCCCTTCCTTGATAACTGGGACCAGTAGCTAAGTCACCTACAGCAAGACACTAGAACTCAAGAAGCTGGGGTGAGCTCCTCACTGCCTGCATCTCTCTGCCTCCAGGTTGTAAGGAACTCACTTGCTGATAGCACAGACCTCACAATTCCTCCTGCACCGCCCCACAGCAACTACTCAAACCAGCAAAGGCAGGCATCCTGTAACTACCGTCTGCCACCAAATTAAGAAAGCAGTAATTTTGTTTTCTTTTTTTTTTTTTAAAGATGGGGTTTCACCATGATGGCCAGGCTGGTCTTGAGCTCCTGAGCTCAGGTGATCCACCCACCTCAGCCTCCCAAAGTGCTAGGATTACAGGCATGAGCCACCGTGCCCGGCCTAGCAATTTTGTTTTCGAGCAGACAAATAACTTAAGTAATACATATGTTTGGACTGTCCAGTAACAGAAATAACATTTTAATGGGAGAATCCCACAGCTTTACATTGAAAGGCCTGTGAGTGGCTTAACAGTGCTAAAGGAAAAAAAAAAAAACAATACAGATTCAATTCCCAAGTTTACAACTCGCTAGCTGTGTTCTTTAAGCAACCCATTCCAAATCTCTGAATCTTGGTCTCTTTATCTGTGAAACAGGATTGATACTACCTCAAACTCCTAGAAGTGATGGGATCACTTAGGATGAAATGAGATCATGTATGGGACAAAACTGGGGAGGTGCAAAGCCCTGTGTCCTCATTATTACTGAAATAACAGACTCTGGAAGAGAACGAGGAAAAAGACGCTTTTCCTAGAGCCCCTCTTCCTTCACTAAAATCAGTTTCACTGGTATCAGACAGCCAGAGGCTGGGTCTCTTTTACTATCAAATGAGGTGAAAACATGGGTGTACTTATCCGCTTTTGGATATGGTATCACTGGAGAGAAAGCTATGTCATGTCCACAGTGAGTCAGAGAAACAGAACAGACATTTTAAAAGGTGTCTCCTCGACCTCTGGCTCCCACGGTTATGCACAGTGGGCACGAGCCCATCATCCCGTGGCACGGGAAGACGCAAATGGCCCTGGGCACATGGTGCAGGTTCTGCTGGCAAAGCCCAGAGGGTCAGCGAGACTGCACCACGTGGTCCAGTAAAGCCAAATGCTTGACGCAAGTATAATCAGTGGTCTGAACTCATCTGGAAATTTCCTCAAACCCCACTGTCTAGAAAGGAAGATGGCTTACAGAGTCGTCACGCAAAGAAAGTCCGAAGAAAGAAAACTCCCATGATCTATTTTCTCTATTTCAGATATTCAGCCATTGATGTCTTTTGGCTCTATGTACAGATGAGCTTTCATTTAAAAATGTTAGCATAATACCTCAAATTGGAGGAAAGTAAATCTCATCTGGTTTCCTGGAACTAGAGAAGAGGTGAAAAGGGGCAAAAGAGTTCACAACAATCCTGGCATGCAGAAACACAGGTCACTCAACCAGAGTTTGGGGTTCTACATTTTAGCCAGGCTCTGTTTTGGCACTGCAAGAATAATCAGAAGAGAAAAACTTGGGGCCAGACACAGTGGGGCTCATGCCTGTAAATCCTAGCACTTTGGGAGGCCAAGGCAGGACTGTTTGAACACAGGAGTTTGAGACCAGCCTGAACAACATGGCAAAACCGCGTATTGAAAAAATACAAAAAAATTAGCTGGGCATAGTGTGCGGCTGTGGTCCCAGCTACTTCAGAGGCTGAATGGGAGCCAGGGGAAGTTGAGGCTGCAGTGAGCGGAGATTACACCACTGCACTCCAGCTGGTAGACAGGGTGAGACCCAGTCTCAAAAAAAATAAATAAATAAAAAATAAGAGAGAGAAACTTGATTCTGTACTGACAATTTTGATACTTGAATGAAACTGCAATAAGATAGAGTATATATGACATCAGGACTCTTGCGGATGACAATTTCAGTATGAGGATTGTTTCAATGTGCAAAATTCAAGATGGCTGCGGGCTCTGTCATCATGGGAAAGGGATCTGCTAATTGAGATTCTACATCTCCTAGTTCTGTGACAGTTCAGTAATAACTCTTTGGCCTTCTTGAAGTTTTTTAAACTTCAAGAACATGACAAAATGAGTCTGTGTTTGGGAACCGTCCAAAGTCACAAGGACAGGGGAAATGAGGAGAGAGAGGGCTGAACAGCCTGTTAAGAAATGGCTGATCAGGCGGCTGGGTGCAGTGGCTCATGCCGGTAGCCCCAGCACTTTGGGCAGGAGGCTCTCTTAAGCCCAGGAGTTTGAGAAATGGCTGATCAATGAACTGGATTCTTTTCGCCTGAAAGAAACCAAAAGATTCCTCTGACATATTTCAAGATGACTGTTCAGAAGGACTGGAAATGCAATAATGGAGAAGCTGTCTTTTGTGGGAGGAATTTGCATCTGTAGAGGAGACAAAGTGAAGTAAACAACAGATGCACGTGGGCTTTCTCTGAAGCACCTCCCTCCTTGTCTGAATCTAGGAAGAACTGAGAGTCAGACACCTTTAAAGGTCTGAAAGAAACACTTAGCATCTACATTCTTGAAGCATTGTGAGCTTTCATTTACACAAGATCACCAGTGCTGGCCATGCCTCCTCTTCTCTCCCTCTTGCTACCTGTTGCCACCTGATTTACCACAATAGCCTGTATTTTTGGCCATGCTCCGAACTCCCACTGCTTCTGTAACCTCAAATGCTACAAAAGCATCAATGATCTGGCTATTTCTTTGAGATCTCTGTAAAACTCATGTGCACATTAATAAATGTGTATGCCTTTTATTACTCTGCTTTTGTGAGCTGATTTTTCTGTGACTCTGCAGAGGGCAAAGGGGATACTTTCCCTTGGCCCCCACCCTAAGGGACCAAATCAAAGGGCTTCTGGGAAAACACTGCTTCTCTACACTATACTTGCACAGCACACTCCTGACACCAGATGTGTGGAGACTGCTCCCCAATCCCAAACCAAGCAAATCTTCAGCCGGCACCAGCTGGGTGTCCTATAATTCAATTCAATTCTGAGGCTATCGACCTGGAGTTGGTATCAGATCCCACAAGTTAAGATTAATTCCCACATGACTGCCCCTACTTTAGATGCCACCTGAAAAAGTCTCATGTGACCCATACTTCTGACTGACGAGTTATAAATCTGGGTTCCCACAACCACCTCTTCAGGTTCAGTTTGCTGGAGCTCCGGAAGCACCAGATGGAAGAGATGCATAGGGCAAGGTATTGCAAGCCCTTGCCAGCCTCCCAAGAGGATGCTCTCACCCAGCTGCCTCCTGGTTCACGCCATGTCCTCTGTACTCCCTTATTCCCTACTGAATTGCTTCCCTCTTGCCTCCCTCCGATCCACCTGAACACATGCTGCCGTAGTCCAGCCATGTCACTTTCTTGTTCAAAAACCTTCAATGGGCTGAGTGCAGTGGCTCACGCCTATAATCCCAGCACTCTGGGAAGCCAAGGCGGGTGATGCACTTGAGGTCGGGAGTTTAAGACCAGCCTGGCCAACATGGCAGAACGCCATCTCCACCAAAAATACAAAAATTAGCTGGGTGTGGTGGCACATGCCTGTAACTCCAGCTACTCAGGAGGCTGAGGAAGGAGAATCGTTTGAACCCAGGAGGCAGCGGCCGCAGCGAGCCGAGATTGCATCACTACTGCACTCCAGCCTGGGTGACAGAGGGAGATTCTGTCTCAAAAAAAAACCTTCAATGACTTCCCAATGCCTGAAGTTCAGTACTATAGCCCACCTCATGCCCTCCATGTGTCCAGTGTTTTTGCCCTACTGAACTACGTGCCATCTCTAAACAAGACTATCTTTTTGTCTTTATCAACTGTGCTTCTAGAATGCTCTATCCTTTTCCCTTTTACGATCCAGTTCAAATGTCAAATCTAAGAAATGTTACATGCTCAATTCCTGCAATCAGAATCCACCTCTGCCTGTGTATTTCAACTGGTTTCCCATTCTGAATTAGTTATGCATGCATATATTTGTCTTTCCTATTAGCCTACACATACCTCAAGAGGCAGAAGGCAGAAGTTACCCGTATGTGCACTTCAGCACAGTCTGAGAGAGTGCCTTCCACTTAGCAAGCGGTCACTAATTTAATTCATCAACTCCCAATATTTCTCTCCATCAAGGTCTCCTTATGGAAAAGTAGACCAAAATGATAAAACCTGGAACTACTTGCTATTATCTTCCCCCACCAATCATTCCCGTCTCCTTGTTTGTCCTTTAACCTACTCAAGGTTATGTTAAAATCACACTTCTCATCGGGGTAGAATGACCTCTTTCGCTACAACCACGTGACAGAGGTATTCATACTGCCACTCTCTAGACGAAGAAACACTGCAAAGTTCAATGCCTTTTCAGAGCTAGTAATGAAAGCCCTGGGATTCAAGGTAAGGGCTGCCTGACCCAAAACGAATGCCCATGGCACACAATATCATCACCACTACAGTCTCTTCAGCTTCTCCACAACTACCACTGGTTTCTATGACGCGCCACCACCAAGTTCCACCTTGGAGTTTAACCCGGATCACATTACAGCTGTCTCATCTTCTCTAACTTGACCTGATCAACTCCTCACATCTTTATTCTTTGTCCTTTTCATCTAGGCTTTCTTCTCTTCTCTCTTCCAGGTCATTCTCAACTCAGTTGAGAGTCTGCTCCTAGGAATTCGACTCCCAGTGATCCATCGCCACTGTGGAGAGGGTTCATGAGAAGCACAAACATTAAGAAAACAGTCTAAAACTCTCCCAGTCACATGCTGCTCTCTGTACACAAAGATCTTCTGTGACTCAGCATGAACAGGACCTGCACTGAGTTAGGTCTTCCAG